TGATGAGATCAAGGCTTCTCCTTCTTGTCAGAAAAGAAATGTTTGCACCTGCATTTGGAGAAGAGAAAACGGACTCGTGGGGAGAGGCTTCTGAAGACGTGTGGCATCTCAGATGCTAACAAAGCAGATTAGGACACTGGTCAGAAAGGACCTCAGTGCCAGGAGGGCTCTTCTGGTTGAAAAGGCCAGATGGAAGCCTTCAGAGTTGTGTCTGCCAAAGAAAATAGTGAATCAAAACCAGAAGAAGCCCCAGAATGCATCATCATGGTAGGAAGTATGGAGGCAGACAGGCAGGTATGGTACTGAAGAAACTGGAGAGATAGCTGAGAATTCTACATTCAGAAAGTAACACTGGGCATGACTTGAGTACTTGAAACCCCAAATCTCACCCCGGTGACACATTTCCTCCAACAAGATCACATCTACTCCAAAAAGGCCACACTTCCTAGTAGTAGCATCCCCTATGGGCTTATGGGTACCATTTTCATTCAAACTACCGTGTCTGGGGGAGAAAAATATGGATAGATCTCTTCAAATAGGTGAAGGGTGTGCAGATATTTGTGTCCCATGTAAAGGCTCATTAAAAGATGACTTCAGCTGAGGTGGACTTCTGTGGATAGTCAGCCTCTTTCCCCAGCCATTCCCATCCTTGCCCAATGGGTCCATGAACACAGTGATCATGGTGGCAGAGATGAGTGTTATCCATGAGATTGACAGCATAGACTGCCACTCATTCAGGGTGATCTTGCTAAAGTTGCTTCTGAGTTACAGATCTGCCAATAGCAGAGACCAACACTGTGCTCTAGATATGTCACCATTCCCTGGGATGACCAGGCAGCAACCTGGTGGCAGGCTGACTGCACTGAACCACTTCTTCCCTAGAAAGAACAAAGCTTTGTCTTTATTGGAGTAGATACTTATTCTGATGTAGATTTACCTTTTCTGCACATAATGTTTCTGCCAAAACCACCATCCATGGACTTACAGAATGCCTTATTCACCATCATGGTATTTTATTGCTTCTGGCCAAGGAACTCATTTCACAGCTGGAGAAATGCAACAGTGGGCCTATGATCATGGAATCCATTGGTGTTACCATGTTCCCCACCATCCTGACACAACTCGCCTGACAGGAAGGTGGAATAACCGTTTGAAGACATAGTTACAGCACCGATTAGGTGGTGGCATCCTGGAGGGCTGGAGTAGGGTTCTCCAGAAGGTCATATATACTTTAAACCGGTGTCCAGTTTATGGTATGGTTTCTCTCATAGTCAGGATCCATGGATTCAGGAATCAAGGGGTAGAAAAGGAGACGATTCCACTCACTATCACCCCTAGTGACACACTAGGAAAAAATTTCCTTCCTGGTTCCATGACCCTGTATTCTGCTGATCTGGAAGTTTTGGTTCTAGAGTGGAGATCCTTTCTGCCAGGAGCCACAACAAACATTCCACTGAACTGGAAGTTCAGACTTCCCCTTGGCCACTTCGGGCTTCTAATGCTCTTACACCAACAGACTAAGAAAGGAATAACAGGGTTAGAAAAAGTGATTGATCCAGACTACTATGGGGAGATTGGATTACTTCTCCACAGTGGCTGTAAGAAGGAGTATGTCTGGAGAGCAGGGGATAGAGCCTTTAGGGCATCTCTTGGTGCTACCACAACCTGTGATTAAAGTCAATGAGAAACCATAGCAGTCTAATCCAGGCAGGGTGACAAAGGGCATGGACTCTTCAGGAAGGAAGGTATGAGTCATTCCTCAAGAAAAAGAGTCAAGAACTGCTGAGGTGGAGGAAATACAGAATGGGTGGTAGAGGAAGGTATTGATAAATACCAGCTCAGGCCACGTGACTAACTGCAGAGACAAGGATTGTAGTTGACATGAGTGTTTATGTCGTGTTTTGTTACAAATACTTTTGTACAGAGACGATGTTTTTCCCCTCGATTTCTTTACCATATGATATAGTCTCATTTAAGAGACCACTGACAGTTATCATATTTGAGTTTGAGATACTAAAAGAGCGCCCCGCCTGTTCTAAATCCATAATGCATTTGAGGTTGTATGAGGAATAGCTACATCACGTTAGGTGTAATTATAATCTGGTTAAATATGTAGTACATTTGCAGTTTTCCCACGGGATAGTTATATCATGTGTAGACATAAGTACGACCTGGTCATTCTTTTGATCTGAAAATTAATCATGACATAAGGAGATATGATTGTGTGTCAAGTGGACCAGGGCTGAACTTGCAATGGCGATTACATTTTGAACTAACTAAAACCCCAAAATGCTTGTTCTTGCCTCGCTAGCAAGTCTATTCCATTGCTGGCATTGAGGAAGAATCTGGGCGTGAACCTAGTTCTACTTTCGTTTGACCAAGCTCACTTTATCGTTTTTAATTTAGTTCCTGAGGGAAAGATCTGTATTTCAGAAGGAATGCAGTCCCTGTGACCTTTGGAATGCATTGAAGAGCAGGTAGGAGCCTGCATACCCCTGTCATGCAGGACATGAAGCTGAAGCTCCACCAGTATCTCAGGAGCTCTTTGATTCATTCACTGGAACCAGCATCAGCATGTTCCCCTGAGCGCTGCATGCAGCGACAGCACTGGGGAGGTTTGACCATGCTGAAATGCAGTCTCCAAAATAGTCCCTCCCCCTTTGAAATTCCAGGGCCTTGTTAGTGGTAGAATGAGCTGGAAATCAAGGGGAATGAAAGGGTCAGATGGTAGGAAGGTGACCCAGTTTGGGGAATGTTAGCTATTGTTAAAAGCAGTCGGTTCTCTGGAATAGAAAGGACTTTGATTGGCAGAGTCATTCAAGAAATAATTACCCGGTGCCTCTCACAGGTCCTGGGATTCTGAACTGGTCACAAGCTGATACATCTGAACACCTGCTTACATCTTATGTATATGCTGCCTTAGCTCTGTGTAGGTGCTGTATAGTGGCAGGGCTTGGATTTGTAAAAGGCACATCACACTTTTTTCCGAAACAAACAAACAAAAGCCTAAAGCCAACTCAAAAAGGTGTTGGTCTTAAAAATTTTATAAACCAGCAGCTAAAAGGGACGGAAGAAAGTAGGACTTGGTGACTCCGCTGGTAATCCTAAGTCAAGAAACTGAATCAATGATGATGCAACAGTAAATAATAAACAGGCCAAGAGCTCCGTGTGGAGTTAGGAATGAAATTAGTCCTTTGTTACAAGATGCCCCCTTGCAGTCTTAAACCGTGGCTTTACATTTTCAGTTTCTAAGCTACCACAGTATTCACCCATTAAAACAAGCCACGACAGTAAAAGCAGTTGTTTGGGAGAACTAATCCTGGTAACAATGTGCTCATATGGGACCTTTCTCCTCCTCCAGGGAACACCCCTGGACTCTTCCGTAGACATGTACCCTCTCCAGGCAGCGTCGCAGCCTTGATAGTTTGGTGCCTGGTAACCACGCTTGGGTCCTAACCTTGGCGGGGTGCTTGCCAGCCCAGGGCCAGCAGGGGGCCCTGAGTCCTCAGGAGAATGATGGCCACTAACTGGAAGAGGGGCCGAGCTCAGCAAAAATGACTGTCAATTTCAAGGCCTTTGATCCCTATGAAGGAGCAGACAAAAGAGTGTCACGCCAGGGCCCCACCTCAGGGCAACCCCAGGCATTTCATCTATTGAAAGAGGGACACAGAGAGAGTGTGAACTGTGAGTGTTCAGACTGATTGTGTGTGTGTGTGTGTGTGTGTGTGTGTGGTGACTGGATTTTCATGGACATTCTGATGTCTTTAAAGAGCCTGTTTCCTGCTCCTGTCCAGGCAGAAGGACTATTGTTAATCTGTCCGCGAGGTTCTCAGTAGGTTTCAGCGTCTGTCCCTTGTCTTCCTTTTAGAGAACACAGAAAACTGTTTGTTTAGAAAACAAACTCCTGTTTTCTAAAAAAAAAAAAAAAAAAGCTTGCTGCTACAGGGAAGTTTTCCAGGCCTCTGAGAAGCGAGGAAGAGGTGGAAGGAGAGCCGTGGGAGTTCCGGGGAGGCATCCACTCCATCCTCCCCTTCCCCTCCTAACACAGTCTTGTGCCTGAGATTTTCGGCTCATGACTTCCAGGCCTGGGCATTCGTAGCTCATCACCAAAGAAAGTACATGCTCCTGGACAGACTAGCTGGTGGGCTTCTAGAAATGTTCAGGTGTGGTGAATTAAGGTGCAAGGACTCCATCTTGAAAACGCAGAGTGTGTCCTAATGTCCGTGTAAACAACACTCCACTATCAGAGTGGTTATCTCAGGTACACAGTAGCTCCTTCCTGGTAAATTAGTCTAAGATGAAGTGTGTGTGTGTGTGTGTGTGTGTGTGTGTGTGTGTGTGTGTGTGTG